GTGCATCCCCTTCCCAGGACAGGGGGGCACTTGACAACTCCAGAGGAAAGGGTTATGCTGCCTTTTCATCGAAAAGAAAACCCAATTTATGTCTAATGGAAATACAGCCCTTACAGAAGCATAGTGATTTTGTTCTCTGTTTTCTCACTGGGAATTAACAATCCACCAAAGAAAAGATAGAAAAAGATCTTAGAAGTACACCATGATCACAGCTCCTCCTCTCTTTTCCCATAAGCTGCCTGATGTAAAACCCAGCTAAGTCCAGTGGCAGCTCTGTCAGTCATCCAAATGGAGATAATGAATCTCTCCTAACTCACTCTACAAATACCACGGAGAAAAATTCCTACATGACTAATTTGAACTCAGACTTTAAACACATATTCTCCTCCAGTATTTCTGGTAGATCTTAAAAAGAGAAAAAGAAAGAAAAAGAAACTATCTTCAGGATTCCGGCGTGGAAAAGAAATACTGAAGAGAGATCACAGCATGGTAGGGGAGTTCACTAAGGGTCTGGCCATGAAAGCAATGGCCACAAGTGACCACATGAGGGAGACGAGCAGTCCAACAGGCAAGCCACGTCCAACAGGCAAGCCACGTCCAATGGGCAAGCCACGTCCAACGGGCAAGCCACCACCAATGGGCAAGCCACATCCAACGGGCAAGCCAAGGCCAACGGGCAAGCCACGGCCAAAGGACAAGACACGTCCAATGGGCAAGCCACGGCCAATGGGGAAGCCACGGCCAACAGACAAGCCACGGCCAACGGGCAAGCCACGACCAACTCGAAGCCTCTGTCCTCACCTAGGGCTGACGAAGACCACAGGCCACAGTCAGAGATGTCGGTTCAATAAGAGTTCACATTTATGTGTTTCACAGACATATATTGCAAGAGCCTCCAATGTGACCTGTGACAAAATGTCTACTCGAAACTACAGCATACAGATCACCCTTCTTCAAAGGTCACATGAGGAGTAGGTGCAACAATCACATGAGAGGCTTAGAAGTAAACAAAGCTTAAAAATATAAACAGGATAAGGAAAAAAGGAGGAGAAGGCAGAGGTTAAAGCATCAACGAGAACTCTCGCTGTACCTTCCTACAGAGGTTTTCTCTGTCACCTGAAGAAAGACGCTGACTATGAGTTCTGGACAAGAAGGTCAGGGCAGACAGGCAAACGCTCACCCACTACCACTCCCAGGCGCAGGGATGTTCATCAATGCATGAATGCTATTAACAAAAAAGAAACACGGCAACAGAACAACTGAGTGCCGTGTGTGCCCATCCACTCTTTCTTCCTGGCTGCCATCTCATGGACACACACGCAAACATCAACCTCCGAGCACGTGGGGCTGGCAGACACAATCTACTTCTCAGTGCTGTCACAAAAACAAGACAAGGCCCCACATGTCTGGAGTGGAGACGGTCAGACTCATCAGCCTGACACAAGAGTAGGGTGGGTCACGCCAATTCCTGATCCTGCATCCACACTCAGTCATCTCACAAGCATGGAATGCTTCCCATGTCCCGTGGAAACTGCAGGGCACCCACAGGGGAAGCTATGGCCTTGAGAAACACAAACTCCGACAGAAATATACGATGCAGCATACATATACACATATATATACACATACAGTGTACATACACATATATGTCCATTGTAAAAAGAATATGCTTTGTTTTTTTTTTTTTTTTTTTTTTTTGAGATGGAGTCTCACTCTGTTGCCCAGGCTGGAGTGCAGTGGTGCAATCTTGGCTCACTACAACCTCGGCCTCCCAGGTCCAAGCGATTCTGCTGCCTCAGCCTCCCAAGTAGCTGGGATTACAGGCATGTGCCACCACACCCGGTTAATTTTTGTGTTTTTAGTAGAGATGGGGTTTCACCATGTTGGCCAGGCTGGTCTCGAACCCCTGATCTCAGGTGATCCACCGGTCTCGGCCTCCCACAGTGCTGGGATTACAGTGGTAAACAACCACACCCAGCCAAGAATGTGCTTTTGAAAAATGCCTGAGGACCCAAGTCAGAATCAACTTTTCCATAGAGAGTCACGGTTAAGGCAAGGGCTGTAAGGACTTAGCATCCAGTCTTTGCCAGGTACAGCTCCAGTAGAGGGCAGGCAGAATGAGGTCTCTCCCATGGAGGGAGACAAGCACTGACCAACTAAATACACAACTGATGACTGAACTGTAACTGTGGTAAGTGCAGGAAGGAAGAGAGCAGAGTCTAGCTAGGGATATGTGAAGGGTTTCAAGGCCCAAGAGGAGCCACATGGTGATGCGGCAGTGTGTGGGGACAGGGGAGGTGCGCCGACCCTGCTGTGGGAAGGAAGGTATGTGCTGAAGAAGCTCAAGATGCAGCAGACACAGCCGGCGGAGGAGCGACACGGACAGCTCAGGTGAAGGGCGTAAGGCCAGGTTACCACCACTGGCCGGCCGTGGGGACTGTGCATGCTGAGACGAGGTGTGTGGGGACATCACCACCAGGGGAGAATGAAATCCTGGCTACTGGGGCAGAGGGACGTGCCATGGGTCAGGGATAGCACCCAAGAGTCTAAACTCCTTCACAAACAGAGTCCAGGTACTGCCTCCTTAGAGCTGCTGGATCTTGAGGAGGTTCAAGAAATCCCAGGGCAGAGGTGGAACAGCCCCCAGGGACTGTGGAGAGCAAAACCTCACTAGAGCATGTAACACCAGACCTCTGCCCAAGCTGCCCTCACTGAGCCGCAGCCTCCCTGGCAGGAGACACAGGTGGCTCTGGGAGCTCTGCCTTGGCCTGCTGCTCCCTCCTGTCACCAAAACGCCAGAGTGCAAATGGGCCATGGAACCACCTTCACTCTGCAGATACAACCATGACTAGCACAGTTCAAATGCAGCCCCAAAAGCAACAGAGACACAACACACGCAGAGGAGAAGCTGCACAGCTGTCACCAGAAGTCCTCAATAGAAAACAACAGCTATTCTACACACGAGGATGCAAACGGCCACAATAAGTGGTGTGTGCCTTCAGAATCTTGGCAACAAAGAGCTACAGGATCTCACAAAAGAATTCCTTTCTGACAGAGACGGCCATGGAAATCACTATAGAGACATTAATGTTTCCTTTAAAGAATGCTAGCGTTTCAACAGGTGCTGCTGAGTAGATAGGCTTTATGAGGATTGCTTAATGTACACTGGGTTTCCTTTTCTTTGGAGATGGGGTTTCCCTCCTGTTGCCCAGGCTGGAGTGCAATGGAGCAACATTGGCTCACTGCAACCTCTGCCTCCCGGGTTCAAGTGATTCTCCCTCATCCGCCTCCTGAGTAGCTGGGATTACAGGGCCTGCCACTACCCCTGGCTAATTTTTTGTATTTTTAGTAGAGATGGGGTTTGGCCATGTTGGCCAGGCTGGTCTTGAACTCCTGATCTCTGGTGATCCGCCCACCTGGGCCTCCCAAAGTGCTCGGATTATAGGTGTGAGCCACCACGCCCAGCCAGAATTAGTGCATTTAAACCTCACAGCCACCCTCCAAGAGGCACACCCCACATAACCCTGGAGCCAGAGCCTCCTCGAAGACGGAGAACAGCCAGGGGAAAGCGGTGGGTGGAGGGATGGAGACAAAGATGTACTGGTTTTAGAAATGTGAAAACAAGAGAAGCGAGAAACTTGGGAGGTGCCTGACAAGAGAGTGAGGGAGTGGGGTCCCACCTGGACAGTAGCAGTGACGTCGCAGCACTGCAGGGGGCAGTAGAGAGCAGCCCAGACCGCCTGCAGGGAGGAGTCGTGTTCCCCAGGGGACAGTGCTGGCTCCCAGAAGCTGTCCTCCACCGGGAAAAGGCCCTTCATCGAGACCCTGTCCCTTCCTGGGAGTGGTGAGAACCCAGGGCCTGGAACAGGGACAGGAAGCCCCGGCCCTCCCATCGCCAGAGATCTCTCTGATGGCTTCCCAGGTGTACAGGCCCCGCTGGGTCAGCAGAGGCCTTGTCTGCTTGCTGAAGAGAACCACATCACCCAGGGTAGGCTGCATGCCACTGCTGGTCAGTGAGCAGGTAGAAAGGCCCACCCCCCACAGAACAACAGGGGACAAGTCTGCAGACACGGCAGTGCAGAGCTCCCCATGCGGCTGAGGCCTGTGTCGACACAGCACGGAGAGCCAGCGTCTCCCACTGTCCAGTCCTGCCTCCGTCTCTTTCCTTCCACGGGGTCGATCCCATGAGTACTTCCCAATACACTCTGCACATATCCGTCTCCACACAGACAACACTTCCCCGAGGACCCAACCGCCACCGCACACTGCACCAGGGCCAGAGGCACAGGCAGGAAGGCAGGTTTGGGGCGGCTGAGCCCCAAGTGCCTAGGGAAACAGGTCATGACTGAAACTCAAAAAGCAGACAGCACCCAGGAGGAGCGTAAGAGACGCTGAGGGCCAAGAAAGGAGCCCGGGAGAAAGGCAACCTTGAAACAGGCGCAGAGGCGGCGCGTGGTCCCATGAGAGCCAGCACACTCAGACCTCATCTCTGGTTCTGGAAGGGAGGAGGGAGTTACCCAGTGACTCAAAGGGACACGAGGGGCCCTGGGGTTCTGCTGATGCCTACCTCTGGTCTGGGTGTTGATTACACGGGTGGCCGCTTGGTGAGAATTCACTCAGCCACATTCCTATGAGTTGTGCACTCCTCTATGTAAATGTTATGCTTTGGCATTTATATTTTATAAAAGGCAGGCTAAGGAAACGAGAGACAACACAGGAGGCTGAGAAGAAGCCTGAGAGGCAGAGGGAAAAGCCGTGGAGTGCGGTGACCACAGAGCAGGAGGAGAGGGCGTGAAGGCAGGAGGAGGTGGCACCAGTGTCCCAGAGAAGTGATGTGGAAGGAGGGACCAAGGTACGGAGAAGGGACCTTCTCACCAATGAGGAGCTGGACAACGTCTTCCACCCACTGAAACCCAAGCCCAGGGTTTACATAAGCCAGCATCTAAAGTGCTCTCATTCACAGTTCCTTGAAGAAAAGATCATGGTTTGAGCTCACTCACCCTGATCCGACAAGAAGTCCAGCATGGTCTGTAGAAGGAAGGACAGGTGTCTGACAGAGAGGGCAGGGTTCCCCATCCTTCGGGAGGCGTAGACCAATTCATGGAGCAAACGCATCTGGACCGCGGCCCAGCCTCTGTGCGTGCCTGCGATGGAAGTTACAAAACGTCACAAAAGTGCTTGGAGTAGGGGCAGGAAATACAGCTAAGCTAAGTTGTAAAAGTTGGCAATTTGAAGACAAATGCCTCAACTATCGAACTCAACAACCAACAACAAATATTACATCTGCTTTTAATGACCCTGTAAGAGGACTTTAAAGTTGGCATGGTTTTCATACAGCAAAAACAGGCATTGCATTACAGTGTCTCTCTTCTGCAAAGACTGATTTCAAAATAGTCCACTTTGAAATAATTATAAGCTTAGAACAAAAGATGATTTTCATGTATCTGAGTTATAGGCATACATTTTTTTCAAGAAAATACTCATATTTAAAGGGCCTTCATTATCAAAAACCAAGAACACTAAATCAAAAATATAGTATTTCTCTAAAATATGAGAAAAATGAAGAAAATTGGAAAGCTAAATTAGAAAAAATTAGAAAAAAAAGTTAAATTCTACAGCTGCTCCCCCCAAAATAGTTTAGCATCTTTGAATTAAAGATGGAGAAATCTAGATACACAAACAATTGAAAAGCATCTTTTCCTCTTTTTTTGAGAGTCAGGGTATTGCTCTGTCATCCAGGCTGGAGTGTCGTGGTGCAGTCACAGCTCACAGCAGCCTGGACCTCCTGGGCTCAAGCAGTCCAGTCCTCCCATCTCAGCCTCCCAAGTAGCTGGGACTACTGAGTACACACCACCATGCCCAACTAATTTTTTTTTTTTTTCCTGTAGAGACAGGGTCTCCCCACGTTGCCCAGGCTTGAACTCCTGGCTTGGAGCAGTCCCCCCACCTTGGCCTCTCAAAGTGCTGGGATTACAGGTATGAGCCATTGCTCCTGGCCAATCTGTGTTCTTAACACACACACCCCACCAATGACTCTGATAACCAACCACACTGACTGGCAAATCACTACTCCAGCTGATCCAAAACTTAGACCATGAAAAAACACATAAAGGTCCATTCAAACTCAGACAAAACCAACATGCCCTGAAAGTCCATAATAGCTCACGATAGTCGGTTGGTTCACAAGTATTTATCGAGAACATAATAGTGTGCCAGGCAGGTTCAGGAGCACGAGTAGGGAGAAAAAGTGCCTGCTCTCATGGCATTGGCATTCTTGCGGGAAGAGTCAGGTCGCAGCCCTGGGAAGACAAACGTGCTGGTGGATGCCGGGACAAACACAAACAGTAATAGTGAGGGCGGATGGGGGTGAGTGGAACTGTCAGCCAGGGGAGAGGGGCAAGGAGGTGGGCAAGGAGGTAACAGGGCATGAGATTGGGCACTCGCCTGATGCTGACTGGTGAGCAAACAGAAGAGAAGGGAAGCCTCCTCCCCAGCTCAAACAGCAGGGCCCTTCCTTCTATCCCAACCTTTCTGTTTGCCCACTGATATTTGAAGACGCTGCTCCGAGCATCTGCCACTCACGGCCCTTCCTGACCTCTTCTCTCAGCACGCTGCCCTGCACAGCTGACCAGTCCCTCTTCTGTACTTGCACTGCATTCTGCACACGTTGCAGCCCACAGGAGTGATCTGACAGGTACCATAAGGCACCCGTAAGCGCATGTATTTGTTTCTCCCGTCGATCCTTAATTTCCTTGGGAGGCAGGTTTGTGTCTTATTCATTCAAGTGTCCCTAATGCCTAGCAGGATGCCTCATAACACCGTTGGTACTTAACACATATGTGGATCAAGACGAAAGGCTGATGAGAGCAAACCCTCGCGTGTTGTAGACACGGATGCTAGTAAGAAGGAGTACATCGCTGTGCACTCCTTCATGATCTGCAATGAAACGCTTCAACAAAAAAAATGAATAAAGTAAAAATAAAACCAGCGTGGTCAAATCTTGATAATTATTAATCTGGACAACGGACTCATGATTCTATCCTAATGTGTATATATTTAAAGTATTTCATAATAATTTTTCATTGAAATCATTGGAGCTGACCAAACACACACATACACACATTTAAAAAACAAACAAACAAAAACACTACTTTATATCTTAGTAGCTTATCTTCTGGAAATCTTTTGGAATATGGCAGGACTTTTCATACAACTGCAGGAAAGGAGAGAAGGACGAGTCTCTGCGATATTCCACACTGTCAAAAGAAGCCAAGACCAAATGCCAAAATGAAGAAGAGATTTTTTTTTAAGATTATGAAGCTGAAATCAGTGTCATGACTAACCTAGCCACGAATTCAAAAAGGCCCAATTTAACCAATCTCAACACTACCATATCTAGAAAGTTTTCTCACATAAGAATTGGGCAAATATCACTTTGCTGATTCTTTTAAAAATAGATAATGATCCAGTTCCTACCACAGGCGACTATGAGTAAGACCGAGCATACATTTTCTTAACAGCAAATAGTGTACAAGTCATAATTTCTATGTTACTCAAAGTGCTCCCCCTATAAAATGTGAATTCTTTTTTGAAGACAGATTTGCAGCATATGAGCCAGTGATAAAATTTTCAATACTCTTGTAATCAAAAAGTTCACCAATTTGGGGGTTTATTATATAAATGAACTATTGCCTTTAGCACATCTGCCTTAGCTCTCTCTTTCTTTCATAAGAGTTCCTGGGCAAAATTTAATCCCTCATCCAGAAAAAGGCTTGAGCAAAAGGCATGATCAAAAATCTTCACATGCCACAACACAAATAAGATTTAAACGATACTGAGCAGCCCATTAAGCTGGCAAATACACACAGCACATGTCAGTGTTCCTACCTCGACTGTCTATAACCAGCTAGTGCAAACGTTCATTTCAAGAGAAAGAATACATTTTGGGACCAGAGAATACAGACAATCTGCCTTTTATTCAGGGTGTTAGATTTCCATTAAATTCTCTGGGAAATGTTTAAAGCAGTCCAGAGCCAGAGTGCAGATGGGGTTTAAAGTGACTTTTGTGTTTTGTTAAACAGATAGCCAGCTGACATTTACCATTTTTACATTATTTAATCTCAGTCAGTCACCTTCTTTCTCTAACCTCTTTCACAAAATAATGGCAAATGTCTCCTCCTGACACGGAAGTCTCGATACAAAGTATCAAGTCACTTGAATGCATGCTTATTTGTTTTGTTTTTCAAAAGAAAAACAATTTCTTTTCAAAAGGAGTATGTTTCATTCGTCATTCAACTCAAAAATTAAGAGCAAGAAACAACTCAATAAATGGCAACAGACGTGTTATGGTAGCCGCCCACAAGCATCGGCCCTGCATCACCCGCACCTGCTTGGGCACCGTCAGGGACTGGCGCAGGGACACAGAGACACACAGGGGCCTCAGCTCCCACAGGGCCTACGGGCTAGCATGGAAGGCAGATGTTAAATAATCACACCCAACACTTTTGTTTTGTTTTTTTTTTTTGAGATGGAGTTTCACTCTTGTCGCCCAGGCTGGAGTGCAATGGCGAGATCTTGGCTCACTGCAACCTCCACCTCCCGAGCTCAAGCAATTCTCCTGCCTCAGCCTCCCAAGTAGCTGGGATTATAGGCGTGCACCACTATGCCAGGCTTGTTTTTGTGTTTTTAGTAGAGACGGGGTTTCACCATGTTGGCCAGGCTTGTCTCAAACTCCTGACCTCAGGTGATCCACCCGCCTCGGCCTCCCAAAGTGCTGGGATTACAGGCGTCAGCCACCGTGCCCAGCCCCAAATGTTTTTCAGATGTACTTACAAATTATGAGAAGTGTTGTAAGGAAGAACAACAGAATTCCATGAAAAAAGAAAAATAACAGCATTCGATAAAAGAGAAAAATAGAACAGTTCCGCTTAAGGCTGAAGGACCACTGAGGACCTCTCTGAAGAAACGGCATCCAGCTGTGACCTGAGGATGACGGGGAGTGAGGCAGGGAGAAAGGGAAGAGTGTCCCCAAAGGAGGTAAGAGTGTCCCCAAAGGAGGCCAGAGGCATCAGAAGACCTCAGACTGGCGCAGTCTTAGATGTTATAGATAAGTGGCCTCAGGATAGGAAAAAAAATAAAAACGACTCCTAGGATAACTTCCACAGAGCCCAGGAGGCTTGCTTTTACCCTGAAGCCAGCCTGGAGTTATATTCAAAGGATGCAAAGAAAAAAAAAAAGGAACTGAAAAGCAATTTAAATCTTGCCTGAAGTCTCTTAAAAGCACACCAAATGGGGATTCCATTCACAAGTGCACAGAGAAACCTATTAAAACACACTTTCTAATCACTCCACAAAGCAACAGTGTGATTGCTTTAAAAACTCTTTCTTCTTCCTAAACACTACTCCTTCCCAATCCAATTTCTCCGGAATCCAGCCTAAATGGGCTTAGACACCCAACTCTCCCCTGCTAAGATTTTGGGGTCTAATCTCTCCTCTTCCAACAGTAACTCTTAGCATTTTTTTTTCAAGATGGAGTCTCCCTCTGTTACCCAGGCTAGAGTGCAGTGGCACATTCTTGGCTCACTGCAACTGCCACCTCCCAGGTTCAAGCAATTCTCCTGCCTCAGCCTGCTGAGTAGTGGGGACTACAAGTACACACCACCATGCCCGGCTAATTTGTATTTTTTTGAGTACCGACAGGGTTTTGTCGTGTTGGCCAGGCTGGTCTCAGACTCCTGACCTCAGGTGATCCACCCACCTTGACCTCCCAAAGTGCTAGGATTACAGGTGTCAGCCACTGCAGCTGGCCACTCCTAGTGTTTGTTGTTGTTGTTGTTGTTGTTGTTTTGGGGGGACAGTCTTACTCTATTGACAGGCACCAGGCTAGAGTGTAGTGGCGCGATCTCGGCTCACTGCAACCTCCGTCTCCCGGGTTCAAGAAATTCTCCTGCCTCAGCCTCCCGAGTAGCTGGGACTACAGGTGCACCACGACGCCCAGCTAATTTTTGTATTTTTTAGTAGAGACGAGGTTTCACCATGTTGGCCAGGATGATCTCAATCTCCTGACCTTGTGATCTGCCCACCTCGGCCTCCCAAAGTACTGGGATTACAGGTGTGAGCCACCGCGCCCAGCCCACTCTTAGCC